ATATATACAGATATATATATACAATATATATATATCTGTATATATATATCTGTATATATATATATATATATATATATATATATATATGTATATATATATATAATGTAACGATTTACTAGATAATATAAATATTTTTTTAATACCTGTAATGAATACATAAAATTAGTTGAATCAATTTGTTGCCATTAAAACAAATAATAAGTAAAAATCAAGTCACTATTGAATTAGTAATATAATTAATATCTACTAATTAAATCATATTTCAGATACCTTTAATAATATATAAAATTATTAAAATAAAAAAATTAAATTAAATATTTAGTGATGGTTGTTATAATAATAGATGTACATGTGCACAATAAAAAAAGATATTGTTGACTTAAAAATGCATTCCATACCGTGAATTAACTAAGAATATTTATTTCGTATTACTTAGTTTATATAATAATTATATGTTGATATTATTACAATATAAAATATAATAACTATATTAATAGACAATATTATTTCATAATATTTAGTACTTTTCAGTCTATCGTTAAAGAATGAGCAATATCTGTCTACAAATAGAGTACCGGGCGAGGAGGGCCAAATATCTAAAGTTAGGTATAAACTCCCAAATTGTGGAAGGGAGGATTGCGGGCAAATGGACAGGATAGTGCATGTATTCAATAATACATAGCTTTGTTATTTGTTGTAGTTTATTACGATAATTGCATTAGTTGTATTATAATGATTTTTAGTTGATGTTAGAAAGCCTTCGTTTCTTGAGTTTTGTATCCCTATTGCCACAGAGCTGTAATGTGCGTTGCATGTACAGGTAGAAGGGCGTAACCTTCTGGTCCTCTATATCTAATGTACGTGGTGGTGGAGTTATACATGTAGAAGAACAAGGTCGTAAACTCTCGCGCTTCCTTGTGTAGTGGAACGTGGCAGTAGCTTGAGTTTGCCTTGTTATTGTCTTATTGCTTACGTTGAAGACTCTGCAGGTGTGCTCTTGGTGGTACTTCATCTTAGTCTCTTATTCAAAGCTTTGAATCACATGTTTTTGCCAGATGCTTAAAGATTTGATTTTTTTGAACTCTAATAGCTAGTTTTCCAGATGCCTAAGGACTTGGGAAAATTCTTACATTCTCGGATAACATCTTATATTTAATATATTACACTCAATTATTACTATTAAATATATGCGCTATTAATTATAATAAATTTAACATTATTGTATTTATTTTGCAGCTAATTAGAAGTGAACTTAAAATAATGATTATAAATTATGAGAATATCGATAATTCTTAATGATGTAAGCTAATTTACATATCTTTATGCTGTTTTAAATGTTGATCTTCATATTTCAACTTAAGATTGATTTTCTATTAGAAATATTTTGTAAATTTTTTTTCATGATTTTTTTTTATTCATAATTAGTATAATATAATAACTTGTGAATACAATGACAGATGAAGTAAGTATTATGACGGGCAATTAAAAAAAAATCTAAGTGAAAGGTAGCTTTGAATACATTTAATTACATATACATTAATAATAAATTGATATTTATTTTTTCTATATAAATTCTTGCTCTTGATTTTAACTTTAAGTGTTCAGTTGTATGTAGGACTGCATATTCAATAAAATATTTCGTAGTTCAACACTGAAGTACAAATATATATGTAAATATATATATTTTTACGGTTTATCATTTGCTCACTTTTAACCTATTGTTTTAAAATAAATTACTTTTTGTATTTAATATACCGTATTTGAAATTTTTTTTTATATCAATATTAAACATATATTTTTATTACAAATGCAGTAGCTATATCGGTAGAGTATTAATATAATATTATATGTACATGAAAGTTTATAATCATTCAAGGTATAAATTTTTTATATAAATTTTACAAAAGTATATTAAAAGGACAGTATAGTTATACACAATTACACACAAGAAAGAAAATATATTTTTCACAATATAAAACACATAGCATTTGCGCATAAAATATTACTTTTAATTACAATTATAAGAGTAAGATATATAATAGTAATTTCATATATTTAACAGAATTATGCTGTTTTAAATAATTAACGCATGATGAAAGCAGCATTTAATATAAATCATATAGTATTAAAAAAATATTAATATCAGCAAAATACAACAATAATAATAATGCATTATTTAATAATACATAAGCAAGTGTTAAAAAATAACTGAACTTTTATTTTAATTTATATATTTATACAAAATAATCTTATAAAATTTTTAATAATAATACGATGAGTGGAAGATGAATTCGGAGGATTTAATCATTATAAATACTATTAAAATAACTTGTCTGTTGTTAAAAGATTTTGGCATTTCATGATCAGATATTAATAGGTAAATATTTTGTATGAAGAATGCATACGTTCAAACATAAATACATATATTCAGTCTTTACAATAAAGATTTAAAATGTATTTATGTATATGTATAGATTAATGAAAATAGTTGTATTATTACAAGAAAGTTTTAAAGTACACAAATGGAAAATGTAAAAATATTTACTTGTACTTACACCTACTTTATTTTATACGAACGCAATATTAAGTAATTAGAATATTGATGCACAAATTTATATTATTTAATAATTTCTGAAAGTAATGTTAATAATTTAATAGAAACGCATTACATTACTTAGGCATAAATAAAGGTCACATATAAATAAAATATTTCAAAAGTACTACTTAGCATTATTATAAGACTCCCTAGCCTTCATATTTTAAGTTTAGCTGCGTAGCATCTTATACGACTGCGCAAACAAGATTTTAAGATTTTCATAATGAAATTATTTATTGAGTTTTATCCTTAAGTTTACAAATTATATTTTATTTAATATGGTTAAAAAATTAGTGTAATATATTTTTGAAACATTAAATTTATATTTTATATAATGATTCATTATATAATTCTAAAATAAATAATTAAAAATTTATATTTTAATTATATTAAAGACTGGTCAAATTTTTCAAAACTATTTTATATTTTAAATGAATAATTTAAAATAAAATAATTAAATTTTTTTTTATTTACTTAAAAATCAAGTAAGAACATAGAAATAAACATTATTTTAAACTAACAGTTTTATTAGAATTTTATCAAATTAGTGATATCGAATATCTTAGTTAATAATTTTTAATTTATATATATTTAGTCGTATGTGAAAAATAGTAAAAGTTTTTAATATTTTGTTTATTACTAGTGAATAGAAAATATTTTAATAGAAAATTTTTTTTCATATAAATACAATTTAAAAATACAACTTTTAAATAAAAATAATTTTTTATGTATTTCATTAAGCACTAAATATAGTATATTACGTATTACATTAAACATTTATTAATAAATCGACAAGCATTCGTAAAAATTAATTTCATTAAACTTAAGTTTAGAATTTTAGAATAAAATTTACAGGAAGTCTTCACAGTCACTAGTTTTTTTATAATTGTAGTAAAAATTAATTTATTTTTTGGTTCTTTTTATTTTCTATAATTTAACTAAGATTTATTAAATAATTTCTTATTTCTTAAAATTAAGAAATAAATATTTTATTTTATAATTTAAATCACTAAAATAAGTTTTCTTTAAAAAAAAAATAATGAAGAATTCAACAATAAAGCAAAAAATTAAATTTAGAATGATATTGCATCAAAATAAGTTATTTTCTATGTATTAACCATATATTTAATATTATTTATTTATTATTTGTGGGCTCAACAGTTAATTAAAAATGAATTTTACAAAAAATTGTTATTGAGTGATAAATTAACTTACCCTCCCGTACGAAAGAAAATTTAAATCAATGATTTTCCTGAAACTGTCAATTTAATTAAATGATCTCTTTAATATATGTTCGCGATTGCGAGACCTTTGTCAATGCATAAACATCTGGCAAAAGGTCTTTAAATTGTAGTTAGTTTTCGGTAAAATTTCTGCTTATTGTATCAAGCTAGAAAGTCATTAAACTCGATCATAAAACTTGAAGAAAACCCTCTCACTGATGTCGGAGATACGAAAAGATCAGTACATCTGAAAAACCCCGAAATTTAATCATACTAGTTATTTCGCATTGCCAATACGTTAATTGTCTGACGCGTTTATACCTTAACTGTTTACTGACAGGAATGCGTCGATTCTGCTTCTACTAGAACAATTCCAAGTACCAGATGTACGTAAACTCTTAACCATAAAAAACGTTTCCTACATTTCACTGCAACTTAAAACCCCAGCACGTGCGACATCGGGCAATCGGCTACGTGCGTATCGGCATTTTAAGACAATATTTACATTGTTCTCAACCACGCTAAATCTTGCCGATCGCGCTAGCCAATCAACAGCGCTCCCAGAGGACCTTCTTTATCGATAAGTCCAAGAGAAGGGAGAGAAGACGAATAGGAGACGCCTCCTCTTTTTAGATACTTTCCCGATTTTAGCACATTCAAGACTAAACCCGGAAGGAAAAGGAAATGAAGGCGCGCATGATTAATCATACCGCCCAAAGTCGCACTCTGATTGGATACAAGAAAGATGAAGGGGTTGCTAGTGGAACCGAGTCAGTAATCTATTTAAGAAGTACAATTACAATGTACCACCACTTATTCTCACGAAAAGTCACAGGGAGGAGGAACAGAAAATAGTTGAGTCTTGTAAC